CCAGAGCCTTGTGGTCAGCTGGCAGCACCACAGAATATGCAGGCGTGGAGTCAAGAGTGGCAAAGGGCAAATGTGACAGGCACGACTTCGTAGCCAGGGGAAAAAGCAAGACCAAGGGGATGTTACCAGTAAGGGGCCGCAGGTGAGCTCCATGTGACTGGCTTCGTGGTCCCAACACGATCCAGGAGCCCAGCCTGCAGTGAGATCTTCAGAAGCCCACCTACGGCTCTGGGCTGGGCTCAGGTCCTAAAAGCTAGATAGAGTTTCAATCTCTTTTCCCCATTTTTCCACCTGGAGCATCATAACTCTTCAAAAATCGTTTGTGGGACCAGTAGTTGGCAAAATGGCTATGTCGCTGGACTCCTATGTAGTTGATCACAGTTCGAGTCCCGAACCCAGTGGCTTAAACACGCTGGGTGTGTGTGCGTGCATGCCCAAGATCCCGAGAGGGGAACAGAGGAGAAAGGATTGCAGTGTGGCCATCCCCCCTGGGGGTGATTTCTCACTTTCTGTCTGTCTCTGTCTTTCTGGCGAGTGCACGTGCCCTCTAGCAAAGGGCTATAAAAAAATCGTTTTGCACATTAAAAGGGACTGCTCTGGTGGAAGCACAGGTGGGCCCTGAAGTCTGCTCCTTCCTTTCCTTGTCCCCACTTCCTACCTCAGGACCTCCAAAGTACCTCAGGCACCAGAGAGCACAGTTTGGAAAACACCAAACTCCATCACTACTGTCAGCTGGGAACATCCTGGCTACTTTTGCTTTCCTTACTCAGGCCTGCCAATGTGTTCCAGGCAGGTCCCCTCGGGAGAGGAGAAGAGATGTCGCCTAGACAGCCAGTGTGTGCGAGGCCTGTGCATACGGTCCGGGCTTCCCCAGCACACGCAGCCTCACCTGGCAAACGTAAGGTGAGGTACCGTGTGGGGACAGGCCAAGACGCCTCTCTGGGGGCAGAGTAAGGTCACCTGAACACGGGCACACACAGAACGTTCTAGACAGGCATCACAAACCACGGTCTTCCGGGCCAGCAGGCGGCATGGAGGCTAAGGCAGCTGGATCCCACAGGACTGACTGCGTGGTTCAAGTCCTGGACCTGGTAGGTTGAAAAGCACGCAAACACATGTGCATGGATGCATGCTCAACCTACAGAAGTGCTGAGAGAAGAAGGGACAAGAAGATTACGGCTACCCCATGAGGCAGGGGTTATTTCTTACTTTTCCTGTCTGTCGTGGGTGAGTGCACATGCCCTAGAGCAAATTGAAAGGAAGGAAAAATTAATCGTGTTCTTCAAAGGACTTCTAGTCATGCTGGAAAGAATCCACGGTATGATTTTTTTCTTTTTTTAAGGATTTTTTACTATAGAGTGTGTGTGCTTGCCAGAGAGAGAGAAAGTGAGAAATCATCCCCCCTAAGTGATTCATTCCATCCTTTCTTCTCCATTCTCCTCTCAGGATTTTGGGCACACACGTACACATGCCTGGAGCATTTCTCAAGCCACCAGGTCCAGGACTTGAACCATGGAGTCAGCCATGTGGGATCAAGCACCTTAACCACTACACCACCTACAAGCCCAAGGTTCACTCTTTGATGTTAAGTGAAAGCCAGAAATGAGGGTATGATAGCCAACTACAGGAACACCCTCGAAGACAGAGGAAAGACATGGAAAGGCTAGCAGCGGTCTCCTCCCAGGCCGGGCTTTTACGGAAATGTTAGGACCTTCCGACATTTCTCATAGTTTGACAAAATCAATTTGTAACCTCCACACGAGGTTCAAGGGTGTGCTACCCTTTGTGGGAGGAGCTCCTGACGATTCCTCCTGAGGGGCTCCAACAATTACCCAGCCCCTGGACGGCTCCCCTGGTCGAGGAGCTTCGGGACAGCATCGGTGGGACCGGGGCGTTGCCAAGGAGGGTTCTCACTCCTCGGCACACACTCACGAGTTGTCGTCCCTGGGACTGTCGTCCTCTTCCTCTGGCTCTTCCTCCTCTGCCTCACTACCCTGACTACCGTACACTGCTGACTTCAGAGTGGAAGGGAGCTCCTGAAAATATCTGGTGACAATGACTTCCTCAGCATCCTCGTTCTCTCTGCTCATCCAGACATTCTCCCACCGGCTGCAGACAGTAAGTGGTTGTTGACAGTCACAGAGCCCAGAACTACACTAATGCCATAATTTTCAGAGCCTGTCAAGGAGCCCCTGAGCCCTACCCGGAAGAGGACGACCACTAGGTGTGCTGGGCATCCTGCCTCTCATGAATTAAAAATGGTAGCCTCAAACCACACCGCCATCTGTGGCCACAAAATCAAACAGCAGGAACTCGGGGGTAGGCTAATGGCCTTTGATGGCATGAGACGTGCCTGGTATGGCCAAGGCTGGACAAAGCTACTCAGGAAGACGCATAATAATCTGGTCCAGGAAAGGCAATGGAGTTAAACAACCTTCTAAATCAAGCAGGCATCCTATCAGATGACATTGGGCTGGCAAACAATGAAGTCCTTTAACTTCAGAGGACTCTCGGGGCAGGGGGTGGGGGATACTGATGGTTTAATAATATTCTAGAATTACACAAGAGCATATGAAGCTATTAGTCCACGCTCAAGGTCACGTGGGCATTGAAAGAAAAACGCTGCAAGGTTTGGGATGGTAGATGCCAATTATTCCGATTGTCTGTGAATCTCTGGGCTTAGGGACATCTGTAGACTTCACTGTGACTTTTTGGCAAAGGTAGCAGAAAAGCTCATGAAAGCTATTTATTAACAGGTGGGCACGTACTTTTCTGCCCAGACTTGGAGGGAAGAAAAGAAAAAAGAGAAAAGACAAAAATAAAGTCACAGCAAAGAGCTCAGCTATTACTTTATAAGGAAATGGCCCTCCTGTGTCGTTCACACACCGCACGCACGAAACACACTTGTGCACGTGTGAGCACACACACGTACGTGCACACACACACACACACACTTTGAGCTGGCCTAGATAGCTCATCTGCTTAGCTGAATCTCTGGGACTCGATCCAAACTCAATACAGGCTCTTTAAAAATTCCATTCAAATGGAGCAGGTTTTAAGCCAGACCAGTCAAGGGGGTGAGAAGCCTTCAGATGCACAGAGACCTCAGGGAGAGAAAGAACGCAGCCTGCTGAGTCTCTGCTCCGGGGAGCGGCTGCCCCAGGATGGCTGTGGGAGTACCTTGAAGGGTTCCAGCAGATGGACCATATCGGGGAGAGGGAGCCCCCCGGCCGCTCGATCTTCACTTTCTCGTCGCCGTTCTTGTTCCGGATGCTGATGACCCCGTTGGACATCCCCAGCGCGAGGTACTGACCGTCGTTTGTCCAGCTGTGCACACAACCGGCAAAGGGCACGGAGAGAGGGGCACACGGGGGGTAACGAGAGCGGGCATGAGGCCTTGGACTGAAACAGAGGCTGCTGTGGGGCCAGCAGGTGGCATGGTGGTGAAGGCGCTAGACTCCCACATGGCTGACCACAGTTCGAATCTGGACCCGGCAGCTTGCTTTCTCACTTTCCTTCTCTATTTCTCTGGTCAAATTAAATAATAATAATAATAAGTGAAGTTAAATAAATAATTCTAAAAAGACTATGGTCTCAATGTTCCCAGTCCTGATAAAGGTCAGAGGACCGAACTTCAATTCCATGTATTTCTGGAACTGTGGCAAGAAGTGAGGGCAGCAGTGCCTTCCCCGGAGCTCCCGCAGCTCTTTGTAGGCACCCTCTCCCTGACCCCACTCCAGCCGACCCCACTTCAAGAGCACCTTTGTAACAGCCCACGGCTTTGTGG